TGCATCCAAGTACTGCATTTCAGACTTTTTTGTTGACTATGATGGCTACTCCATTTCCTCTAAGGGATTCTTGCCCACAGTAGTAGATATAATGGTCATTTGAGTTAAATTCACCCATTCCAGTCCACTTTAGTTCGCTGATTCCTAAAGTGTCAACATTCACTCTTGCCATCTCCTGTTTGACCACTTCCAATTTGCCTTGATTCACGGACCTAACATTCCAGGTTCCTATGCAATACTGTTGTTTACAGCATCGGACCTTGCTTCTATCACCAGTCACATCCACAACGGGGTGTTGTTTTTGCTTTGGCTCCATCCCTTCATTCTTTCTGGAGTTATTTCTCCACTGATCTCCAGTATGATATTGGGCACCTACTGACCTGGGGAGTTCATTGTTCAGTATCCTAATTTTTGCCTTTTCATACTGTTCATGGGGTTCTCAAGGCAAGAATACTGAAGTGGTCTGCCAGTGGACCACATTTTGTCAGAACTCTCCACCATGACCTGTCCATCTTGGGTGGCCCTACATGGCATGGCTCATAGTTTCATTGAGTTAGACAAGGCTACAGTCCATGTGATCAGATTGGTTAGTTTTCTGTGATTGTGGTTTTTAGTCTGTCTGCCCTCTGATGGAAGATAAGAAAGTGAGGCCTGCCAACAGCCACTTGAATGAGTTTTGAGGAGGATTCTTCACAGTGGAGCCACTAACCCTCAGCTCATAACCTGACTGACGACTGATGAGATATAGGTAACAGAAGCTTAGATTAGGAATCTCTTCTGTTTTAAGCTACTAACTTTGGAGGTAATTTGTTATGCAATGAGAGATTACTACTAAGAGAGACAGAAATGAGACACCATATGGAAAGGAAGAAGGTAAATCAGAGAGTGGACAGGACACAGTCCTCTTTTTCCTTCATCAAGAATAATACTGAAATTAAAGAGCAGGAGAGATATGAAATGATCACTGTGAAAATAATTAGTAAAAAAATGCTGCAGAGAAGGTAAGTAAGAGGGGAAAGTGATAAGTACTCCTGCTGAAGATTCTTTTATGATCCAAGGAGATAAACAAAAAGCTAGTTCAAGAAAAAAGAAGTTCAGTGTGGTCTCTGAGGGGGAGAGGATGGGTCATGGAACCATTAAAAGGCTACTGACATCATGGAGGCATCAATGAAAAGTCACGAAATCCCTCATAAGGGATTACATTCTGGGAACCATAATTACAAAGTCACTAGGGCAGGCTCTGAAATGACTGATGTTTAGGAGGAAAGAGGGTGATGCAATCTCTAGAAGTAGGGGAGTTCATGATTTATTTTGGAAGCAGTATTTGGAAAAAAAAAAAAAAAACAGAACTCTTGGCAAATCTTTATATTCACATTATTAAGGAGGCCAAGGATGATTATTCAGATGTAAAATGGTTGCTAGAGATGATGTAGTTCTAAGGGTAAAAAACTTTTATAAAGTTATAAATCTGCTGCTTGAAAAACTGGACAGATGGGAGATGTAGACCCAGTAAGAGAAATGCAGGCCCAGCTATGGCAAAGGAGGAAACGCCATCCAACTGGACACATACTCTCACCTAGTGATGTTAAAGACTAAAAGCACATTACAGCTAGCAGCATAAGGCCAGGCAGCTGCTATGCAAGTTTAAAAAAACAAAACAAACTCAGAAAAAACCTTAAAGAACAGCAAACAATTAAGGGAATTTGAAAAAAAAAATTCAAAACTTAAATATAGCAAAAAATAATTTCTTTTTTCTTTTCTATCCAGCAAAAAAAAGTATAATTACTGTTAGAAAACAAATACTTGGTTATATGTGCCAAATGCACCTATGGCTGAGCTAGGTTCCTACAGTGGACACAAATGAAATGCTGGTCCCTAAGGCGCTTATGGACTAGTTGGAGACTCTGCCTTTATGTGCATAAACAACTCGAGAAGGACTCAAGAAAGCACAGTCAGCCTGATGAAAAGGTGATCCTTGGGGTGGTGAGATGAGTTCCAGAGGGAGTAGAACATCAGGAGACAGGACGGGGAGGCCACAGAGGAGCTCGAAGGACTGTGCGGTATTAGGGCCGGAAGAAGGAAGATTCCCAGCTCTAATATCAAGGCCGGGGACCCTTCAAGGAGGGGCTGATGACAGGACAAGGGTCAGAGAGCTGATGCCTCACAGCTGGGACATGGAGGGTTGAGATGGTAAGAGCGGTAAGAAAACTGGGATTCCAGGCTAGTCATTCATGCCTCCTTTTCACAAATGAGTGTCAGTTCAGTGAAGGTTCTGTGCCAGGGGCAGTGGAGATGAACAGAGGTGCACAGCCTGGTGGGGAGACCAGGGAGTGAGATGGATAACACTTCAATGAGGCAGAGGGCACAAGGAGATCCCTGTGTGAATTCTGACCAGGGCAGTAAAGACAGGCCTGGGAGAGTGATTAGGGCACTGTGTCTACCTAGGACCTTGATTCTTTAAAGCAATTGTTAGCAAAAGAAATCAGAGCAGGTTGAAAGAGGTTAAAGTGAACAGTAAAATCTTAACTTTTTGTGATTTTTTTTTTTCCCTTAGCAGAAAATACCAATGGTATGTGACCAACAAAGCACTTGATGACACAGTAAATCTAATTTTTCCAAGCCGAATGAGGAAGGACAGGTGGAAAGGGAACTGGAAGCAGTGTCATCCTCAGGGGTGCCTTGAAGGCAGTCAAGTGGGTCATGACTCCTGGTACCCCTCACTCTGAGCTTCAGGTTCTTTGTCAAATGGGATCTCCCTGCCCTCCCAGGGCAGCTGTGATGATTGTGAGTCATGACCTTACACAGCGCCTGTGCTGAGCGCTCAACCAATCGTTTTCTTAGTGTTGAAACTTGGGTTGCTGAAAGATAGGTGAAGGCTCATGGCAATTAAGAATGTGTTTAACTTTTTCTTCCTCAATTTTTCTCTTTTCTTCCTGTGGTTCCCTGTCATTTATCTAACTTGATCGTGGGAAAAGAAGACTCAAGGAGGAAGAAGGTAAAAAATGGGTGGATATGCAGCAAGGCGAAGGCTCTGCCAATAAAAAGACAGTAAAGATTCAGTAAACAAGTAAACAAAGACAGTAAACCTGAGTGAGTTTATTAATGCAAATTTATTCTTTCACCAAAGAGCCCAGAAAAAGTGAGGTGCAATCAAAAAGAAAATCACGGGAGAAAGTAAGGAAAAAGAAAGTCAATGGCTACAAAGGATACTGGGAAACAAGTTCTGCAGGGAGGCACTTATTAGAGGCAGAGGTTAAAGAAGGCACGACTATGGTGTGGTCAGTGGAGTAAGTTAAGATAAAAATCAAACCCCATCTTGGTGAGATCAATTGAAAAGCTAAAGATGTTAACCTGTAGGTCTTAGAAAGAATGATTAAAACTGAAATTTATAGGACCTTGGAGTTAAATATTTAATGGCTGGAGAGAAAACCAAGATGGATTATACATTAACTATGTAAATTTTTCTGCATCCCCCACCCCACAAAGAAAAAATAAAAGACCTGAAGTATATTTCACTATAATATTTATCACTTCAGTGCTTACTCTCTGCCAACCACTATTTAAAGAGTTTAATAAGTATTAATCATTTAATCCCCAGAGCAACTCTGTGAAGAAAATACAATTAACACCATTTTACCAATAGAGAGATGAGGCACAGAGAGTTTAACTTGCCCAAGGAATCACAGCTTGCAGGAAATCACAATGCAAAAACTGCTTCCCGCAATTATCCTAAGCCTGGTCACAAACTTTGGGTAGAGTCACCCTCTAGTGGAATGAGTTTAGGGCCACCTACAATAAGAATGGGCTTCCCTGGTGGCTCAGTGGTAAAGAATCTGCCTCCCAAAGCAGGAAACTCGGGTTTGATCCCTGGGTTGGGAAGATCTCCCAGAGAAGGAAAGAGCAACCCACTCCAGTATTCTTGCCTGGGAAGTCCCAAGAACAGAGGGGCCTGGCGGGCTACAGTCCAGAGGGTCGCAAAGAGTAGGATATGATTTAGTGAATACACAACAATGAATAACATCACAAGTCATTCCTGAGAAGGAGATAGTGACTTTGGACTGACAGTAGGTAGTCCTTTAAAAATCACACATGGTTACCAATTCGGTTGGAGGGACACATAAGGTGAAAAAGCTGCAAATGGATGTGAGTGGCCAATAAAAAGAATGAAAAGGCAATAAAAGACCATAAGTCCAAGAAGCAAAGTCTATCAGATTCCCACTTGTGGTAATACGAAGGTGGAGAATCTCCGATAAGAATTCACACAATAGACATGATGCTAGGCAGTCATGAGGCCCTGAGAGCCTCCTCACAGCATGGTTTGGCCCTATGATCATGCATTGATGTGGGGCTCATCTTGCCTATATTTATGCTATTTGTCTCCTCCTAGGAACTATACCCAAAAGAATAAGGCGTGGTCTTTGGTAAAAATATACTACAAGAGTCTGAGATATCATTATTGTATAATACATTTCTCTTATAAACAAACAAACAAACAAAAAATTTAGAGGGAAAACAGACCTTGCTGGTCTGTAATTAATGAAGCCTGACTCTTTCAAAGGCAGAGAAGGTACAAGCTTCCCTCAAAGCCCACCCACAACTGGCACTGTAACAGAGGGAATACTGCAGAAGGGAAGAAGAGGCTGATTTCAGAGCCAACAACTGTGACTCTCACCGGTTTGATTTTCCTGGACAGGGCACGACCTGGAGCTGTGTCCTGCTGCGCCATTTCCGTGTCTCCTCCTCCTTCACCATCTGATGCCCCTAGGAAACATAAAAATTAAAAATTAGAAAAGTGCCTTTCTTTCTCTCATTTCTAGCATAATCTTGGTACCATCTTTTCAGAAGGTTCTGTCCCTTGACTCGATAATTTCACCTCTAAGAAGCTGAATTTGAGAAAATGATCCAAAATGAAGATGTGATTGAAGAATCAAGGTGGCAGTGTTATTTATAAAACTACACAAATGAAGATTATTCAGATGTCTAAAACTGAGACTGTTTAATTAAGGAACACGCACTGAGTTCCATGATTGAACTCTCCATTTTCAGATGGAAAAGCTGTTGCTTGGAGGGATAAAGTAATTTGCCCTAGGTCACACACCTGGGGACCCAGATCTCTCTGAGTCCAATGTCTTCCCCCATAAGCGATGCTGCCTGTACTGAGACCCAGCCAGCTCTCAACACCCATGTGTTGGCCCCAGCGGTAATGAAAGAGAACGTGACAAAAGTATTATACATCATGAGGAATTCTTATTTTAAATTTATAAAATCTTTCAACACTGGAAAAAGTAAATTCTTATCCTAAGAATCAGGAAAAAAGTTTTTAATAATAAAAGTTTTTAACAATTTTTCTGTTTAAAAAGCTCTTTTAAAGAAACATGGCAACCATAAGTTTTTTACTTCCCATAAGGCTATCCAGTCTTTCAGATTTTAGTGGCTGTTCTCTCTGAACACATTTTTGAATCTTTGAAAGACTTCACTCACTCCCTTTGAGTTTTTCTGTATATCTCCAAGCCCAAAATGTGAGTCTTGAGTAATACTGGTCAGAATTCATATTTAGGTACAGATTAACTAGTCTGGTAGTCCTGAGATGGTTAGTTTTATGTATCAACTTGACTGGGCCACAGGGTGGTCCAGACACGTGGTCAAACATTACTCTAGATGTTTCTCTGTAGGTGTTTCTGGTTGAGATAAAACTGAATGGGTGGACTGGAATAGAGCAGATTGCCCTCCTACTGTGGAAGGGTATAGCCAATCAGGTATGGCTGGGATAGAACTAAAAGTATGACCCACCCTGAGTAAGATAATTTGTTCTGCCTTTGGACTTGAAACATTTGGCTCTTTCTGGATCTGGAGCCTGCAGGCCAATGAGCTGGAACTGTATCATCAGCTCTCCTGTCTCTCAAAGCCTTCTGACTAGAATTGCAACTAAACAGTTGGCTATCCAGGATGGCCAGCTTGTCGTCCACACTGCTGATCTTGGGGCTTGATAGCCTCCATAACTACATGAGCTAACTCCTTTACACACACACACACACACACACACGACAGAGAGACAAAGAGAGAGAACAATAAATATAGATAGATGTGTAGCAAAAATATTTATTTCCCTATTGCCTCTGTTTTTCAGGAGAAGCTTGCCTAATAACTGTGTAGAGTGAAAAAAAGGACTCTACCCAATGAAGCAGTAGCAGGTAGAAGATTAACAGGGCTTTTTAAATGAATGATTAAGTTGGCATTAAAAGTATTTATAGAACTGTTTCTGGGAAGAAAGCAGTAGTAGTCATATTTTCCCCATTCCTCCTGTTAAGTTACAGCAAAAAACCCTGAACATTATACATAAAATAAACAGAGGAAATCTCTGAAAGGTGGAGAGAAGAAGTCAGACGGGCTAGGGATATGGAGGCCCACGGGAACAACACAGTGGTGAGCTCAGTAGGTTTTCTTTTAGCTCATTATCTCAGACTTGGAGCTAAAGAAGCTAGTAACTTGGAAATGCTAAGTGAAAGCAGAAAAAAAAGCCCCAGCAAATAAATGTATGCTATATTTAACAAAATGACCAGGAAAAGGACAGCCTACCAAGACTGAAAACCTTTAGATAACAACTACTTGATTCCAGCCAAACACAACAGAAAAGCTGTGACCCTGCCTACACCAGCAAAGGCTGAGTGGGGAGCCAAAGCTTCCACCTTTGGCCGTAATGAGGCATCCCGACTTCTCTTCCACCTTCCAGCAGAGTGGTGGTCAGAAGTGGTCAAGTAGGGACTGAACTCCTGAAGAGGTTTTCGCCCCCGAAGGGTGGTGGGAAACCCCTGTTCTCTAGCCGCACCACCTCCAGTGCAGTTCAGAGGACACGCTGTGAGCCTGGACCTACACCTCCTCCTGGTAGCAACAAAGGCACCTCTTTCCCACTAGGGTCAGAGAAAGCCTAGTAGAGAATCAGGACTCTCCAAACTGCCCCGTGGCGATGAGGCCAACCCCCACACTAGTGTTCTAGCAACCACTAAAAAAGCTATGCAAAGAGGTACACTCAAAAATATTAAGACAAATCAAAACAATTCTAAAAAGTTCAAGTAACTCACAGGAAGGCAGGGAAGATAAACAAGAAATAGCAAATAAACAGAAAAGATGAAATAAAATGACAGATTTGAATCCCAACATATCAATAATTATATAAATTTAAATGATCTAAACACACCAATTTAAAGACAGAGACTGACAAAGCAGATTAAAAAACATGACCTAACTATATGCTGGGGCTTCCCAGATTGCTCAGGGGTAAAGAATCTGACTGTAATGCAGGAGATACAGGTTCAGTTCCTGGGTCAAGATCCCCTGAAGTAGGAAATGGCAACCCACGCCAGTATTCTTGCCTAGAATATTCCATGGACAGAGGAGCCAGCCAGGCTATAGTCCATGGGGTTGCAGAGTTGGACATGACTGAGCATGCATGCAGCTATATGCTATTTATAAGAAACTTATTTCAAATATAACAGTATAGCTAAAAGCAAAATGATGGGTGAAATGTAATATATATTGATAAAATAGCAGGGGTTATATTAATACATTATACTCTATTAATTATATTAATATCAGCTTATATCAACATCATATTTATATACATCAGATATTAATATCAGACAAAGGTTGAATAAATTGTTTCTTTAGCCAGTGATGCTTTTTAGTTCCAAAAGGAAAGCTGCTTTTCTGAAGTCAAGATGCTAGTTCTGTGATTTCCATTAAGAAAGTATGACAAGAACAGCACGGGGACCCAATCTAGCCAGCCTGGCTCCAGCCGCTAGATCCCTCCAGGACCGCCGGCATTTGAGGAACTGAAGCCAGGACTGGGCCACTCAGCTCGAGCAGCTGATCCAGCCCACGGCGTGGACTCACCAAGACGGTGCCGTCTTGTTTCCAGCTCCCGGAGGGTCTGCATCAAAAAAAAAGAAGAAAGGACACGACCAGATGGGATTCGTTAAATTCTTCCAGAAGTGGAGTCAAGTACACTGTTCTTTTTCAACCCCAGGCGAAAAGAGCAAAAAGCTAAAATTAAAAGTTGCACATATCTTTTTCCTTCAATCCCTGTCTTTGTCCTCTTTATGAGAAGTATCAGAAATCTAATTTCTCAGCAACTTCTGTAAGCTTCTAAGTATTTGCCTGCATGGACTCCTTCAAGGCCCTAGGGAGAGTACTGGCAGTGGCTCATAGTTAATTTTTCTTTAAAAATTAGCAAAAGAAAGATATATGGGGATTAAAATAAGTACAATAGACCACTGTCTATTTCCACTCAGAACTCATCTCTGTCGCTCTCCTACCGAGTGATGTTGGAGCTGGAGTGAGCATTCTGGGGATCCAATTAGAGGGAGATGATTGGACAGACTCTGAGTTTAATGAAATATTATAACCTTATAATAAGGTTCATAATCATAAAGCCCATAGTTAAACTACTGCTAGCTGTCCTGGTGTAGGAATGTTTCCAGGAATATTCCTACCACCCTATGCCAACTTACCAGACATCTGACACAAAGTACGCAGGGTGAGAAGTTGTGTATTGTAACACAAACACACTTGTGCCTCCTTCCTTGGAACAATGCAGGAAGTGGAGGAGAAAGCAGATTTGGGATGAATGAAACCAGAAACTAGTCAGTGGAAAATTCTCCTAATCATCAAAAATGTAAAACTGTAAGCTGAAAATTAGGTTCTCGTTTTGTGTGTTCAAAATGGAAAGTCTCTCATATAGGAATATATTAGACAAAGCATTTTACAGTTTAAAAAAAACACAGTTTTTTCTTATCTAATGAAAATGAATAAAATAAAACTTTTCAGAATTCTTCTGTTTATAACAGTACTGTTATAACACTTTCTTTCATATCTTATTTTGTATCTGTAATTTTGTATTCTTTTCCTAAGAGGCCTCACCCCGCCACACTGCATAAGCTTTATGCCTCACAAAAACCTAGATCTGCCCTAGCTATAGGCCTGCTTAACTCTCCTATGGTTCTCATATTTTCTCAGCAGAATAAATTACTGAAACACACAACCTGGTAAGTTTCAAAAGCATGATGCTAAGCAAAAGAAGCCAGAATCAAACGGCTTATATAATGTGTGGTACTGGAGAAGGCAAAACTATAGGAATAAAAAACAGATCAATAGTTACTGCTGACTGGAGATGGGAAACTTCTGGGGCTGTTGGAAACATTCTATATCTTAATTGTGGTAGTGGTTACACAACTGTCAGTCATTCAATATGTGCTCAGTTGTGTCTGACGCTTTGTGACCCTATGGACTGTAGCCTGCCAGGCTCCTCTGTCTATGGGATTCTCCAGACAAGAATACTGGAGTGGGCTGCATTACAAAAAACTCATGGAATCATACACAAAAATGGGCTAATTTTACTATGTAAGTTATTTACTATGTAAATTATTCCTCAATAAGCCCAACTTTAAAAAATAATGATAGAAGCTAACTTTCTAATGTCTGAGTCCACAAGCTTAACCCTGACACTACCCTTGCATGAGAAGATGGTGCTTATAGCTAAATGTTTAGCTAACTGATGCTTCCTTCTATTCTGTTTGCTAAGAGGTCTGTTTGTCCTTTTATTTTAAAATCATGACTAGGTGTTAAGCTTAATGCAATGTTTTTTGATTTTGCATTTACTGAGATGATCATATAGGCTTCTCCTATAATCTGTTAATGTGGAAAACTGTAAAAATAAGTTGTCTAATGTTAAATAAACCATTCTTGCTATTCCTAGGATAAATCCC